TGCTAGACTTCTCTAAATACATCTTATTTTGTACATTTGTTTTTGGAAAGATGTAAATAGTTTACATAATTATAAAACAAAATTAAATCACCATGAAAAAACTTTCTAAAAAGGAAAGGCAAGATTAAACAAGTGAATCTAATTGTGTATTGACTTGGTAGCATAATTACACAAAAAGGACCTGAGTGCCTTTAAAACAGAATTTAGGTAAACATACCAGACGAGATTAACTCTCAGGATATAAAGAATTGCAGAATACATTTAGGGGTGCCTGGGTGGCTCAGTCGGTTAAGTGTGGGACTCTTGATTTCTGCTCAGGTCATGATCTCACGGTTGTGAGATCGAGTCCCCATGTCAGGCTTTGCTCAGGGCATGAAACCTACTTGAGTTTCTCTCTCCCTCTTCCTCTTCCCCTCCTCCGCTGGTGCACACAATTTTCTCTCTCTCTCTCAAAAAAATTGCAAAGTAACGTCAATAATCACACTGTTAATGATAATATTAGTATGGTGGACTTCAAGGCTCTGTGCAAAATGAGTGGTTCTGGGTCTAAGGCAAGAGATATATAAGCTGAGCCTAGAATATCTTATTCCAGGAAGCTAGGGAAGACTAGTGATGTATTAATTTGCTGAGGCTGCCATAAAAAATACCATAGACTAGGTGACTTAACTAACAGAAATTCATTTTCTTTCATCTCTAAAGGCTGGAAGTCCAAGATCAAGGTGGTGGCAGGGTTGCTTTCTCCTGAGGGCTTTCTCCTTGGCTGCAGATGGTCACCTTCTTGCTGTGTGCTCGTACAGTCTTTGCTCTGTGTGCATTCATCCCTGGTGTCTGTCTTCTTATATGGACACCAGTCATAATAGATTAGGGCCCCACCTTCATGACCTTCTTTAACCTTAATTGCCTCCGTGAACCACCTTGAAGGGCTTCCCACTAGCTAAAAACTAGACAATTTGAGCATTGATAAGAATAATAACAGCAGTGGATTTAAATCTATGAATTCATAATGGTCTTAATATTCTGAAAACTGGTCAAGGAAGAGAAAGAAGTAAGCATTTATTTTTTCTTTCCTGTGCAAACTGTACCTAGGTAACCTGGCTGAGTAACATGGCTTGACTGTGAATGTAATGATATAGTTGATGAGTGAAAAAAAAATTTTTTTTAAGCTTATTTATTTTGAGAGAGTGAGACAGAGAACACACACAAGCTGGGGAGGGGCACAGAGAGGGAGAGACAGAATCCCAAGCAGGCTCTGCCCTGTTAGCAGAGAGCCTGACTCAGGGCTCAGACTCATGAACCATGAGATCATGACCTGAGCCAAGATCAAGAATGGTCACTCAACTGACTGAGCCACCCAGGCGCCCTATGAAAAATTTTCTTTTAACATGTAACAGTGGCCATTAATAAATGAAGAAAGTGGCAAAGTAGAATACCACCATTTTATATAGGTCTAATAAGATAATGAATAGACCTAGGCAGTGTTCATAAGTGGCCACTAAGAAGAGTGACAACCACACTGTTGAGCAAGTTGCCAATCATCATGAGTAGAAATGCAGATAGTTTTTTTTTTTAAGTTTATTTATTTATTTTGAGAGAGTACATAAGTGTGCACAAGCTGGGGAGGGGCAGAGAGAGAGCGAATGAGAGAGAATCCCAAGCAGGCTTTGCATTGTCTGTCCAGAGCCCAGTGGGGGGCTTGAACTCATGAAACCATGAGATCATGACCTGAACCAAAATCAGGAATTGGACACTTAACTGCCTAAGCCACCCAGGCTCCCCAGAAATGCAGACACTTCTGCCTTATCCATTTTGCTATCAAGATCACCAAGGAAAACAAAATGCAGTCAAGCACTGGCTGAAACAGCACTTTACTCACATTGAGAAGAAGCACAAGATCAGCTTCAATTGTAGGCATTGGTCCCCCATAGCAAGCAGTCACTCTCTGCAGTTGATGCAGAGAGATTGGGCTGCATACACCCATCTTGTGCCAAAGAATGACTTCATCTTGTCCCCACAGAGGACAAATGTAGTAGTGGGGTTTGCCAGGTGCCATATGACACATACACTTACACAATAAAAGAGTACACACTGAGTCTGAAACAGGGCAAGGTATTCCCACACAAGGTCATAAATCCAACACACGCTGGAAAACACTTTCTTAGTAAGAAAGTGTTCCATGCTGAAAGCTGAGAGGGAGTTGAAAGACTATACAGGAGACTGCCTTCTCAACAGTACTTTATTATCTCCTGTAGGAAGTATACACATGCACCCCACCCCCATTTGAACTTGAATCAGGTCAAACTTCTGGCTCTAATAGCCAGTTTATATGAAATATACGGGATAGAGGAACCTGTTACATGACATGCAGTTAGAAAATTCAAAATGTGGGAAACTGCAGGAAAAAACTATTTTTTTCCAACTAATAAATTGTAGTGGGATGGGGATAATTATGGATTCAAAGAGAGACTTAGACATAGCAACCAAATGCAATGTTTGCACCTTGTTTGGATCCTCTTTTGAACAAAACAACTAAAAAGAGACAGTTGGAGAAATGTGATTACAATCCATTTAGTTTTCCATTGGTGTATAACAACTTATTCCAAAACCTAACAACTTGAAACAGTAAACATTATCTTGTAGTTTCTGTGGGTCAGGAGTCCAGGAGTGTCTTAATTGGGTCATCAGGCTCAGGGACTCACAGGGCTGCATTCATCTGAAATCTTCATGAGAAGAATTCACTTCCTGCATAGTGATTCTTAAGATTCACTTCCTCTCTGGTGGTTGACTCCCTTAGTTTCTTGCTAAATAGGGTTCTCCACAGAGCATTTCACAACATGACAAGCTGACATCCATGAGAAGGAATAAGCAAGAGAATAAAAGAGGGAGAGCAAGATGAAAGCCAGTGTCTTTTTGTAACCTAATCTCAAAAATAACATCCCAACACATTTGCTATATTGTGTTCATTAGAAGACTTTCTGCATCTAGTCTGTACTCACAGCGGCGCACAGGGCATAAATACCAGGAGACATTTCAGAGGCTGCTTACTGAAGACTGTAAATATAGTAATATTAAGGAATTTTTGGCTTTAGAAAGTAAGGTAATTATGGTTATTTTTTAAAGTTGTGATTATTGTGGTAATGCTTGAAAAGAGTTCATATCTTTTAGGGTTCCATACTGAAATATTTCCAGCTGAAATAGAATAAGAGGTCCAGGGCTTGTTTCAAAATAATCTAGTGAGAGACTGGCAGGAATAGAGAGGATGGCAGAAGGATTATAGAAGAAACAAGATTGTCTGTGTACTGATAATTGTTGGACCTAGATGATAAGTGTACTGTTATCTCTTTTATTGCTTTTATTTTTCATTTTCATTTAAAAGGTGAAAAGCAAAATGAAATAAGTAAGTGAATGACAAAAGAATGCCTTTAGTACCAAATTATATGTTCATGCCTTGGTACACTGTTACATTTTTAGATTTTGGAAAGATTTTTTTTCATTTTATTTTTTATTGTGGGAAAACAATATATATATCTCATAAAATTTACCATTCTAATCATTTTTAAGCATACAGTTCAGTGACATTAAGTATGTTCACATTGTTGTGCAACCATCACTGCCCTCTGACGTCAGAACTTTTTTCATCTTCCCAAACTAACACTCTGTATCCCTTAAACACTAACTCCCCATTCCTACCTGCTCCCAGTCCTTGGCAACCACCATTCTACTTTCTGTCACTATGGATCTGACCACTCTAGCTATCTCATATAACTGGAGTCATATAATATTTGTACATTTGTATCTGGCTTATTTCACTTAGTATAATGTTTTTAAGGTCTGTTTCTGTTATAGCATGTGTCAATATTTTCTTTCTTTTTAAGGCTGAATAATATTCCATTTTATGTACATACCACATTTTGTTTATCCACTCATATCTGTTGATGAACACTTGGGTTGCTTTTACCTTTTGGCTGCTGTGACTAATGCTTCTCTAAACACGAGTGTACAGGTATCTTTTTAGATCCCTGCTTTCAGTTGTTTTGTGGACATACCCAGAAATGGAATCACTAGATCAAATTGTGGTTATAGATCTCTTTTTTGAGGAACAACCATACTGTTTTCCAAATGGTTGTACCATTTTCCATTCCCATCAGCAATGCCCAGGATTTCCAATTTCTCTCTATCCTTGCTAACACTTGTAATTTTCTGTTTTGTTTTTGTTGTTTTGTTTTGGTTTGTTTATAAACCATCCTAATGGATGTGATGTGGTATCTCACTGTGGTTTTGATTTGCATTTTCCTAATTACTAGGGTTGAGGATCTTTTCATGTTCTTATTAGCCATTTGTATATCTTCTTTGGGTAAATTTCTTTTGAAGTCCTTTGCCTATTTTTGAATTCTGTAAGGGTGTTTTTAAATAGAAAAGATAAACACTTAAGTCTGCCTACTAGCACACTTGCCATGGTGTATCATTGCTGTTTTTAGTTTGTATTCATCATTATAAATGAAGCTTCTTGAGGCATGGACTGTTTGTCTTCTCTCTTTGTTACCTTGGTGCTGCCTAGAACATAGTAAGAAGTGAATCCAAAAATTAAAGGAATTCTGTCATTTTGTGTTCTGAAAACATATACCCAAATTTAACCCTGGGATTTTAATCTCACAGTTTCTGTGGTATAGAGAAATGTGAAAGAGAAAACCTACCAGCACTGTTCCCTTAAATCATCTAATTTCATCTCATTCAAAAACTACTCCCTTCATTCCTTACTCCCAAGTACTCAGAAATAATGGGGTATTTGTAAAAATGAGCATGACCATATGAATAAGTATTTTTCATCTTGTATAAGTTTTTAATTAAAGCATACATTACTAAAAAATACTTTGGTACAGATATTAACAGTGGTGTAACTAAGAATTTTAGCAAGTTTAGGTATAATTAATAATTACAGTTAAATTGTTAGTCTACATTTAGGAAACATAACAATCTGTATCTTCTTTTTTGGTATTTGAAAGGCTGCTCTTTGATGAAGACACATCTCTTAGATCTGAGTTCAGTCTCCATCCTGGTATAAGTGGAAGGTGCAAAGGTGAGAAATAATTTTTTTCACTAAATAGTCACTTTAATTTCCAAAGTGTTAATATTCTACTAACTTATCCTTTTATAGTTAGTTTTGTTTTTAACTTTACACAGAATTAGTTTCTTATACTCATCTGTAATAGACCCTGAGGTCTATTAAGATCTATTACTATAACAATAGCCAGGGGAATTCTAACTTCAGGAAGATGTTCATGGCTCCTAAAGGGGGCTACAGAGATATGCAAATGATACCCAGATAGCTCTTCTTGCAAAAATTTCCAGTTTAACCATACTACTTGCATATTTGCAGAAGTGAATAGTACTTTTTAATAACCAGTCTGAGGCACCTGGGTGGCTCAGTCGGTTAAGCGTCCAACTTCATCGCAGGTCATGATCTCACATTCGTGGGTTCAAGCCCCACGTTGGGCTCTGTGCTGACAGCTTGGAGCCTGGAGCCTGCTTCAGATCCTGTGTCTCCCCCTCTCTCTGTCCCTTCCCCACTCGCACTCTGTGTGTGTGTGTCTCTCTTTCTCTCTCAAAAATAAAATAAACATTAAAAAAATTTTTTTTAAATAACCAATCTGATTATTTCAGGCTGAAATTAAGGTCCAGATATCCTTGGTTTATTTATATATATTAAATTTTTAAATTTGAGTACAGTTGACACACACTGTCACATTAGTTTCATGTGTACAACATAGTGATTTAACTTTTGTATAGGTTATGCTAGGCTCACCACAGTGTTAGCTACCATCTGTAACATACATTATTGCAATATCATTGACTGTGTTCCCTATGCTGTGCCTTTTATTCCTGTGACTTATTCATCCCATAACTGGAAATCTGTATCTTCCATTCTCTTTCACCATTTTTTTCCTTTCCTCCCACCCCTTTCCCTTCTGGCAACCATCAGTTTCTTCTCTGTATTTACAGGTCAGATTCACCTTTTCTGTGTGTATTTATTTGTTTTGTTTTTTAGATTCCACATATGAGTGAAACCATATGATATTTGTCTTTCCTGGTCTGACTTATTATACACTATTAGCAAAGTAGCAGAAAGAAACTAAGAAAACAATCCTATTTACAACTACAGCAAAAAGAAGAAAATACCTAGGAGTAAATTTAATCAAGGAGATGAAAGAATTATACTCTGGAATCACACAAACAAATGGAAAGATACTCCATGCTCATGGATTGGAAGAATTAATATTGTTAAAACACCCGTATGATCCAAAGACATCTACAGATTTAGTGAATCCCTATCAAAATACCAACAACATTTTTTCACAGAACTAGAACAAATAATACTAAAATTTGTATGGAACCACAAAAGAGCTCAAATAGCCAAAGAAGTCTTGAGAAAGAAGAACAAAGCTGGAGGTATCACAATCCCAGATTTCAAGATACACTGCAAAGCTGTAGTAATCAAAACAGGATGGGTACCGGCACAAACGATTACTGGAATGGAATAGAGAACCCAGAAATAAACCCACACTTATGAGGCCAATCGAACTATGACAAATTAGGAAGAATATTCAGTGGGAAAAAAGATAGTCTTTTCTATGCAATGGGGAAAAGATAGTCTTTTCAATAAATGGTGCTGGGAAAACTAGACAGCTATAAGCAGAACAATGAAATTAGACCAGTTTCTTACACCATATACAGAAATAAATGCAAATGGATTAAAGACATATATGAGACTTGAAACCATAAAAATTCTAGAAGAGAACACAGGTATCAGCCCTAGCAACATTTTTCTAGCTAGTTGTCTCCTAAGGTAACGGAGACAAAAACAAAAATAAACTGTTGGGACTACATCAAAAGAAACCATCAACAAAACAAAAAGGCAACCCACGGAACTGGAAAAAAATATTTGCAAATGCTATCTCTGATAAGGCGTTAATTTACAAAATATATAAAGAACTTAAACAACTCAACACCTAAAAGAGCAAATAACCCAAGTAAAAAATGGGCAGAGGACTCGAACTGACATTTTTAAAAAAGAAGACATACAGATGGCCAACAGACGTATGTCTTTTGCTAAGTATCGCCAATCAGGGAAATGCAAGTCAGAATCACAATGAGATTTTACCTTAGACCTGTCAGAATAGCTAAAATCAAAACAGCAAGAAATAACAAGTGTTGGTGAGGATATAGAGAAAAAGCAACCCTTGTGCACTACTGGTAGGAATGTAAATTGGTACATCCACAATGGAAAACAGTGTGGAGGTTCCTCAAAAAATTAAAAATAGTAATGCCATATGATCCAATAATTCCACTACTGGACATTCACCCAAAGAAAATAAAAGCCCTAATTTAAAAAGACATATGCACCCTTATAGTTATTACAGCATTATTTATAGTAGCCAGGATATGAAGTAACCTAAGTGTTCATTGATAGGAAAATGGATAAAGGAGTTGTGGTATATATACACAGCAGAGCAGTACACAGCTATAAGAAGAAAGCTCATACCAGTTGCAACATGTGGGTGGTCCTAGAGGGGATTATGCAAAGTGAAATAAGTCAGACTGAAAAATACAAATACAATATGGTTTCATTGATAAGTAGTACATATATTTTTAAAAAATACCTTTCACCTACCACTTTTCTATACTTCCTGGGTCCACTTCTAGGTTTGTTTGTTTGTTTGTTTGTTTGTTTTAGAGAGAAAGCACACATGTGAGCATGGGAAAGGCAGAGGGAGAGAATCTTAAGCAGGCTCCATGCCCAGAGCGGAGGCCAATGCAGGGCTCAATCTTACAACTGTGAGATGATGACCTGAGCCGAAATCAAGAGTTGGTCGCTTAACCGACTGAACCACCCAGGCACCTTCTAGGTCAATTTAAATACTTCTAGAAAAATTCATCACCAATCGTCACTGTTCAAAAAGAGCAATTCTGCAGTAGCTGTTTAAGTGGTAGATTATTTTCTTCTGTGCTTTCTTCTTGTGAACCATTTTTAATTTTTATGGATATCTGAAAATAGGTATGGAAAAGAAGAAAAGTTTCTTTTTTTAAAATGTTATTTAAGAGAGAGAGAGAGATTGAGAGAGAGAGAGAGCGCACGCATGCAAGCCAGTGGGGGAGGCAGAGAGAGAGAGGGAGAGAGGGAATTCCAAGCAGGCTCCATGCTGTCAGCCCAGAGCCTGATGCAGGGCTCAGTCCCACAAACCATGAGATCATGACATGAGCTGAGGCCAAGAGTTGGGCACTCAATCTATTGAGCCCTCCAGGCACCCTGCCACTGTTTAAAATACCATTATTGTGGGGGCAGATACATTGTAGGGCATATATATATATATATATATATGTCTTTCCACTTTTTTTGTTTCTTTGATCTCTGGCTTTTTTTACTCCTGTGCCATCACTGCATTATTTTATCAACCTTGGTTTTAAGTACATTTCTGTATCTGGTAGGGAAGATACCTTCCCACAGAGAGTAGCTGGCCATAGCATTCATCCTGAGCTCCTTGGTACAAACAGCAAGCTCAGTGAAGTGTGAGACCCACTGAGAGCTTCCAGTGTACCCTCTTCAATCTTTTTGTTGGATTTGCTCTGAGCTGGGTGGTTTCCTGAGATTCTGATGGAAGAAATCCAAATAGTTACTTCTGAAGGAGCCCCTCCTTTTCCTTTGTTGAGTGACATGCTGTTTACCAATGTTTGGTTTCCCTTTTTTAAAAAAATGTTTATTTTAAGAAAGAGACGGGATCCATGCACGTGCATGTGAGTACAGAAGTGGGAAAGGGGCAGAGAGAGAGAGAGAGAATCCCAATCAGGCTCTGCGTTGTCAGCACAGAGCCCAACATGGGGCTTGATCCCACAAACCACGAGATCATGACCTGAACTCTGGCTCAAGAGTCAGATGCTCAACCAACTGATCATTCAGGCACCTCTGGTTTCCCTTTAATACATTCTCATTTTGATCCTTGGTGGGTATATTTCATTTTTTCTCATTGCTGCTTCAGATTTTATTTAAAAAAAAAAAACAACTCCTTTGTTTGGATTCTTTTCAGGAACTAAGAAGAGAAGAAAAGTTAAAATAGGAGCTCAATTTCCCATCTTAAAAACACAAAACTCTGACTGTTTTTGTATTTTATACTAGCATTACAAGTTTTTAAAAATGACCTAAAATGAAATTTTAAAAAAAGAAAATACTCCTTCTAGTGGGGCTTAAGTCTGTATATTGTCTTTACTTATCCTTTGCATTCATTCATCCTGAAACAATAAATATCGAGTGTTGTTTTATTCCAGTGTAGTATATATGTTTCTTTGAAATTAATAACTTAAAAACTTTGGTATACAGAAGTGGCAGTTAGGAAATTATAATTCACAAAATAAATTTAAATGACATTTTGTAGTTTCTATAAAATCATAGAGCTGTTGCCAAAGCAGAGCAATGAGACTATTTTCAAAGGATTTATGATTGTTTCATTCTAGGCAAACTTTCTCCTGAGATTCAACTTGGGTTTAAACTGAGAGATAATCCCCAAGAGCAAATGAGTAAAAATAAGATAATGCCTCTTAATGACAAGGCAGTCTTACAGGTAGGTAGCATGTTGATTAAATACATACTTATTAAAAATTGGAAATGCTATTTCAAAGAGTGACAAATTACTAATGATTAATTCTTTGTGTCTTGTTATTTTCTTTCTTTCTTCCCTTGCTCAGTTTTTTACCATTTCTTAGCCAGTCATTCTGTTTCTTTGTTGTAACTTTGGTGAAAGCCTTATTTATTTATTTATTTATTTTTATTTAAAAAAAAATTTTTTTTTAACATTTATTTATTATTGAGAGAGAGCATGAGCAGGGGAGGGGCCGAGAGATGGGGAGACACAGAATCTGAAGCAGGCTCCAGGTTCTGAGCTGTCAGCACAGAGCCCGACGCAGGGCTCAAACTCACAAACCACGAGATCATGACCTGAGCCGAAGTCGGACGCTCAACCGACGTCGGACGCTCAACCGACGGAGCCACCCAGGCGCCCCAAGCCTTTTTTTTTTAAAGGGGGATGTTGAAAATGTCTCATTTCTTCCTCTCTTTACTTTCCTTATCTATCTCTCTTTCATGTGGAACTTCTGGGTATATACCCAGAATAAGTGAAAGCAGTGACTCCAAAATATATTTGTACATCCATGTTCACTGAAACATTATTCAAGTAGCCAAAAGGTGATAGTAGCACAAGCATCCATCAACAGTTGAGTGGATAAACAAAATGTGGTACATACATAAAATGGAATTAAAAAAGAAGGAGATAGTGATTCATGGTACAGCATGGGTTAACCTTGAAGACATGATAAGTGAAATAAGTTCAGACACAAAAGGACAAATATTATATGGTTCCTTTTATATTAGGTACTTAGTTTCAGAGCGACAGAAAGTAGAAGGGTAGGTACCAGGGGTTGGGAGAGGGGTTAATGGGGAGTTAGTACTTCATAGGTATCGAGTTTCAGTTGGAAAAGATGAAGAAGTACTCTAGCTGGATGTTGATGATGGTTGTACAACAGTGTGCACAAAATGCCACAGAACTGTATGTATAAAATGGTTATGATGGTGAATTTTGTGTTATATATATATTTTACCACAACAAAAAATGCTAAGAAACAATAACATAAGATTATTTTAAATGTTAAATTTTTAATTCTTGTATTAGCATTTATCATTTAGAAACAAAATCTCCCCCCCCCCCCCCCCCCCCCCCCCCCCCCGCCCCCAGCAACCTCAAGATGAAATGGAACAAAGTCAAGCTCTATTCCAGTAAGTATATTAATTTCTGGCTTTGTTATATTGTAGATTTTTTTTGTAATTTTACACACTAAAACAAGTCTTCATTTTCTCAGGAGTTTTAGAATTATTGTATTTTTTTTAAATGGTTGTCCCTTTAAAAAATAAAATAAAATAAAAACAGAGGGAGGCTAACCATAAGAGACTCTTAATTATAGAGAACAAACTGAGGCTTGATGGAGGGAGGTGGGTGGGGAGATGGCCTAAATGGGTGATGGGCATTAAGGAGGGCGCTTGTTGGGATGAGCACTGGGTGTTATATGTAAGTGGTGAATCACTTAGATCTACTCCTGAAAGTGTACTCCTGAAAGTGTACTACACTGTACATTAACTAACTTGAATTTAAATGAAATCTTGGAAGGGGCGCCTGGGTGGCTCAGTCGGTTAAGCGGCTGACATCGGCTCAGGTCATGATCTCGTGGTCCGTGAGTTCAAGCCCCGCGTCGGGCTCTGTGCTGATAGCTCAGAGCCTGGAGCCTGTTTCAGATTCTGTGTCTCCCTCTCTCTGACCCTCCCCCGTTCATGCTCTGTCTCTCTCTGTCTCGAAAATAAATAAACGTTAAAAAAAAAATTTAAAAATAAATAAAATCTTGGAAGAAAAACAAATGCCCCTTTAGCAGCATAAGTGTTATTTACAAATATTCTAGATAAGTTTCATTTCATGAGGATTGGTTCATATTAAGTTGATTCTCTATTAATGTTATTTAAAAAGTAAATTTATAGCATGACATGAAGGAAGAATTTGTAGACCTTATTGAAATTAGACTTTGTAGAATTATTGTATTTTAAAAGGCTTTATCCTTTCAGTTTTTTTTTGAACAATGGTTCGCATGGCACCTGGGTGGCTCAGTCAGTTAAGCATCAGACTGTGGCTCAGGTTATGATCTCACAGTTGGTGAGTTTGAGCCCTGCATCAGGCTCTCTGCTGTCAGCTCGGAGTCCACTCTGTCTCCCTGTCTCTGCCCCTCCTCCACTTTTTGTCTCTCTCCCTCAAAACTAAATAAACATATTTAAAAAACCCAAAAAACGGTTCTCAAAGTATGGTCTGCCCACCCCTTCAGAGTCCTTGAGACTTTTTCTAGAGGGTCTGTGAGATCAAAACTATTTTCATGGGAACCTGGGTGACTCAGTTGGTTGAACATCTGACTCTTGATTTCAGCTCAGGTCATGATCTCATGGTTCCTGAGATTGAGCCCTGCCTTAGGCTCTGCGCTGGAGCTCCGAGCCTGCTTGGGATTCTCTTTTTCCTCACTTCTCTTATCTCCTCCCCTTATTGTGCTTTCTCTCTCTCTCAAAAGAAATAAACTTAAAAAATTTTTTTAAAAAGGCATTTTCATAATAATACTAACACATTATTTGCCTCTCTCATAGTATTGACATTTGCACATACAGTGCTAAAGTAAGTGGTGGGTAAAATGCTGGAGCCTTAGTAAGAATCAGGGCAGTGGCACCCATTAGTATTAGTAGTCACTGTAATTTTCACTCCCATGAACTAGCACTTAAAAAAGAAAAGGGAGAAAACACTCAGCTTCACTTAATGCATTTGATGAAGCAGAAAGGTTATTGTTTTATTGAATTCCTACCCTTGAATATATATCTTCTTGATGTGCTGTGCAATGATGGGGAAGTATGCCTAAGTACTTCTGTGCATACTGAAGCATGATAGTTGTCTTAAGAACACTTGTGCATTTGTTTGAATTATAAACATTGTAAGAAAATTAGCTCACTTTTTCTTTGAACTTGGAAGAATAATTGACAGACAAAAGAACATTCATACTTGGGTATATGGCAGACATGGTCTTGAAAATGAATGAAGTAAGCCAGTCACTTCAAGGAAAAGCTTATGATATTTGTTGCCAATGAAAAAGTTCTAGCTTTCAAGTGAAAATAAGAGGTTAGGAAAACTTGTTTTTACCACCTCAACCTTGATGGCTTCCCAGTACTTAAAATTTTCCAGTGAGATCAGTGGTAATATTTATAAAAGTGATCTTTCTGATTTTTAATAATCTGTCAGTATAAGGAAGATCTGCATAACTCAGTGAATTAGTATTTTCTAAAAGACAAATGGATAATGTCACAAAATCACATGCAGGTGAAAGATCCATTCAAAGTGCAAATAGACCATTGGGTTATAAGGTGACAATACAAAAAGTTCGTTGGTGTTTCAATTTCTACATTTCCAGTTCACCTGTAAAGTTATTCCTTTTAGAGTTTTGGTGTGATACTAGAGTTATCCAAAAAGACTACTAAAATACTCCTTCCTTTTCCAACTGTATACCTGTACGAGGCCAGATTTTTGTTATATACTTCAAATAAAACAGTATTTGTATGGTGGGGCACCTGGGTGTCTCAGTTGGTTGAGTGTTTGACTCTTGATTTCGGCTCAGATCATAATTCCAGGGTCATGGCAAGCCCCAGGTCAGGCTCTGTGCTGAGCATGGAGTCTATTTGAGACATTCTCTCTCC